TATGAGGTTTTAATAATGTGTAAATACAATTGTTGATATTATGTTTTTTTTAAATGACAAAATTGCTATATATCTACACACAATCTTCCGTATAAATAATTTATATAACTGAGTTGCTAGACAACGAGCTAATTAGCCCAATTAATACAAATTAAAAACACTGATATATAAAATCTCTAAAGTTGCAACACCGAATGCGTATATCTACACGTTAGCTATTAATTGGGCAATTAGTTATTCGAATTCAAGCATTGATAACATCAGAAAACATAATCGGTGCAACTCAATTCTTCAATTATATTATATAATATTCGATTTTATAATTTATACAATTGTATATCGATATAAATATTTTTAAAATTTTATAACAAATTCATTCCGTGCAACGCACGGGCGCAAATACTAGTAATAATAATAATAATAATAATAATAATAATAATAATAATAATAATAATAATAATAATAATAATAATAATAATATTTTTTGTGAAAGTTGCGGATAAAGGAGAAGAGAAAAAAGTTTTAATTGGGAAGGGTAAATTATGTCATTTCTTTAAAATAATAAGGATAAAGATGAAAAAAAAGTTAGGAAGCTAGGAGCTTATTTTGAAACGCTACCTAAAGTAGCGTTTCAAAATAAGCTCTTATTTTAAGCTACGAGCTTATTTTGGGAACATTACCAAATAGAGCTTATAGCTTATTAGGAGCTTAAAATAAGCTATAAGCTCCTAAATAAGCTTTGCCAAACAGAGCCATACTAATGCATATATTTACTTTGGATCATACTTGTATGAAATCGTCTCCCCCATCCTTATTCGTGCGACAAGTCTGGTTATTTATAAGGAAAAATGTATTACTTTTGAGAAAAAATATAGTACTTTTAAATTAAAATGTAATACTTTGGGGACGTTTGGTAGGATGAAATTGTAATTCTATTCCTACCAAACTCCATAGAATTGTTTGGCTAGAGGGAATTGTAATTCCGTGAAATTGATGTTGAAAAAATAGCATAAAATGATATTTTAAGTGGCTATTTTGTGTTACAAATATTAGTGGGGTCCACTCCCAATTTGGGTCGGATTATTCGTAGTGAGACAAATAGATTGATATATTGTACGCTTAAAACGGATAATGGATGAATGAGAAATTGATTCTCAAACACTGCAATCACAATATGTTTTATCATTGGAAGCCAATGTCGTAACGCACCTTTGGAGATGACAAATAAGATTTTAAAGAAAGAGTGTTTCGCTCGACCACCAACCCAAAATTCCTTTTGTTATTTTGTTTGTTACTTTACTAGAAATATTATTTTCGTAGTGATATTTCGTAACAATTGCAATTCCATCTGACCATGGAATTGAAATTCCTAAGGGCCCCTTAGAAATTACAATTCCATAGTTTGTGGAATTGCAAGGTAAATTAATAATAATAATAATTCCTTTTATTCTTTTGTTTGTTACTTTACTAGAAATATTATTTTCGTAGTGATATTTCGTAACAATTGCAATTCCCTCTGACCATGGAATTGAAATTCCTAAGGGTCCCTTAGAAATTACAATTCCATAGTTGGTGGAATTGCAAGGTAAATTAATAATAATAATAATAATATTGTTATTGTTATTGTTATTGTTATTGTTATTGTTATTGTTATTATTATTATTATTATTATTATTATTATTATTATTATTATTATTACAGAATAAGAAATATCAAATGATAAGGAAAATTTGACTTTAAGACTTTAAGCCCAAATCAAGTATTAGGGTGTGTTTGGAAACCAGGAAGGATTTTGAGTGTTTGGTAAGTAGGAAAACACTAATGGCCCGTTTGGTTTACGGAATAGGCCGGGAATGACATAACATTCCCAGTAATAGGCCTATTCCTTTGTTTGGTAACCATTTCTATTACCAGGAATAGTATTCCTGGTAATAGCCTATTACCTCAAATAAGGTAATAGCTATTACTAGGGCCCCCTGGTATTAGCCTATTACTGAACGCTTAGGAATAGATTTTAGAATATGTTTTCTTTTTTACCCCTTTCTTTAACCTAATTTTTTTATCCTATATATAAATTTATCCTATTTCACCACCGTCGTCGCCACCACCACCACCATCGCCCCCCCACCACCACTGTTGCCCCCACCACTGCCACCGCCACCACCACCCCAGCACCACCACCGCCGCCACCACCATCACCACCACCGCCACCACCATCGTCGCCGCCGCCGCCACCGCCACCAGAATCACCACCCAGCAGCACCACCGCCACCACCACCACCACTGCCACAACCGTCGCCGCCCCCACCACCACTGCCACAACCGTCACTGTCACCACCACCACCGTCGCCCCCACCACTGCCACCGCCACCACAACCACTACCACCCCAGCACCACCACCACCACCATCGCCACCACCGCCACCACCATCGCCACCACCACCACCACCGCCGCCACCATCACATATTTTTATAAGGGTATCTATGTCTTTTAAAACATATTTCATTTCTATTCCTTAAATCAACCAAACACTGTAATATAATTCCTAAAGTCTATTCCTTTCGCGAACCAAACAATAGAATACAATTCCTATTCTATTCCTTCCTATTCCATTCCTTATGGAATAACATTCCTATTACCTCAAAATTCATTCCGTGAACCAAACGTGCTGTAAAGTCAATGAAAAATGAGGTTGGGTCAATGGAAAATAGAGTCATTTTTATGGAAAATGACTTCCCTTTTTTTTTTTTGAGAGGAAGTCATTTTCCACTTTAGGCATTCTTCTTCGCTTCTTCGCTTCGTCATCGGTTCTTCGCTTCGACATCGCTTCCTCGCTTCGACATCGCTTCTTTGCTTCTACATCGCTCATCGCTTCTTGAAATCGGAAAATGATTTCCAACTTGGAAACACCTAGTTCTGGATTTCCAAGTCGGAAACCAAATTGATTTCTGACTTGGAAATCCAAAAATCGGAAATCCAAGTCAGAAACCAATTGGTTTCCGACTTGGAAAACCATATTCTGGATTTTCAAGTCGAAAACCAATTTGGTTTCCGACTTGGAAAACCAGAAATCGGAAACCAGATTGGTTTGACCAATTTGGTTTCCGGCGATTGGTTTCCTTGCCGGAAACCAAACCAGTCTCTGGTTTTCGGCAAGAAAACCAGTTCAATGTTATTTATTTATTTTTAATAATTATTTTTGGGGATTTATACATGACACATCTATTGTATGTTAATTAAAGATTTGAAAATATAAATTTTTCTTTGCATATAAAGATTAAAATGTTAAAGTATACAATTTTACTCATTTTCTTGAAAATGAACCAAACATATAAAGACAGTTTTCTGTTGTGCAGCCAAACACCGGAAAGGAAAATATTTTCTGGAAAATGACTTATTTTCTAGAAAACATTTTCCAGAAGCCATTTTCCTATTTTCCAAACGGACCCTTAGTCGAATCCATTTAATAAGGCAAATTATACCGTGCACTAGGGCGCACAATGCATTGTGCGCCCTGGCCCAAACAATAGTTATGCTGTGCAACCGAATGCACCATGCGCATGGTGCATACGACGCAAAACGACATCGTTTTGACTAAAAACGCGCGTCCTACTTTTAAAAAAATTCAGGTTCGATTCTCGGCAATCGCATTATTGTGGATATATAGTTATGAATTTCTGGATATACAGTTATGAATTTATGGATATTTAGTTCATTCATTGTAGATATTTACTTCATTCATTCACTGTGGATATATAGTTATGAATTTGTGGATATATAGTTATGAATTTCTGGATATATAGTTATGAATTTATGGATATTTAGTTCATTCATTGTGGATATTTAGTTCAATCATTGTGGATATTTAGTTCATTAATTGGGGATATTTAGTTCATTCATTGGGGATATTTAGTTCATTCATTGTGGATTTTTACTTCATTCATTCACTATGGATATATAGTTATGAATTTGTGGATATATAGTTATGAATTTATGGATATATAAAAATGCTATTGCCGGGAATCGAACCTGATTTCTTTTTTAAGTGGGACACGTGTTCTTTTTAACCAAAACGACGTCGTTTTGCATCGTATGCACCATGCGCATGGTGCATTCGGTTGCATAGCATAATTTGCGTGGCCCAAAACAACGTCGTTTTGGACCTTTCGCGTGTCTACTGTTAAGTCCTTAAAAAAAAGCATGTTTTGAATATACAGAATTGTATAATAGAATACACAAAATTTTATAACTAAATATTTTCATGTTTCGAATGTACAAAATTATATAATAGAATGCACAGAATTTTATACCTGAAAACACAAAATTTTATAATTGAAAATTCACATGTTTCGAATGTACATAATTATATAATAGAATGCACATTATTTCATACATGAAAATACAGAACTTACCAAAACGATGTTGTTTTGAGAGGCGCCGCACATTGCTATGTGCGCCCTGGTGCACGGTATAACAATTGATTTAATAACACTAATCCTTTAAGCAAATTATGCTATGGTCTGTGGAACCGTGTCCACCGATTTTCAAAATTGTTCATAATCTATCATTATAATAAATCACTAAGTTTCTGCCTATGTCAAAATCCCGCCCAATGAAAACGACGCCGTTTGATGGCCTGAGAAAAAGTTGTTATTAATCGCGTGCAATTAAATACAGCCGACTACTTTTTTGCCATACCAACAAAAAAAAAAAGATTAAATAGAATTCTAATTATTACAGACTTCTAACGAGAGTGTTAATTATAAAGAATGCTTTGAAAATCGATTTCTCCATAAACATTTAAATGTAGCCGCAACATGCTCTTGAAAACTGAAAGGTCGACAGCCCCCTTTAGTCTTCCCAGATTTTGAAATCCATTGATTTATACTCCATATATAAGCCTGTGTCGATGGAGAATTCCCCTCCAAACTTCAGAATATATTCAGTTCGTATCACCTGCATTTTACAAAAAACACACCCAAACTTTCAGCCACTAAACAATGCCAATGTATGTTCCAGTAAAAGACATTGGCCCGCTTGATAGGGAGAAAGCAATAAGAGTAAAGTGTGTTAGATGCTACGAAATAGCCGAGAACAGAGGGTCCACCGAGATCAAGAGTCGAGAAGTTTTGGTCTGTGATAAAGAGGTATTTTCGTGTCATTCTTATGATTTTATTTAACTGTTTAAGCTTTAGGCTTTATAATTATTCCAATGCAATACACATGTCTTATTTATTTCACTAATCCTACGTGCAGGGTACTTTCATACATTTGAATATGCAAAACAGTGATGTCCAGAAATATAAGAATGTGTTCATAGAAGGGAAGCTCTATTCTGTAAAAAAAATTTTGGTTTTCACCCACTATTATACTTTCAAAACTTGTGATCACGAATATATGATTATGTTAAACTATAAGACTCAAGTAAAGGCCATCAAATCGAAAGGTTTTCCTAATAAGATGTTTCAGCTCAAAAACTATGACTCTTTGAAAGACCCTACTCAAGTGAATGACAAGGTGTTGTTTGGTAAGTATTTAGTTCATGTTTTTGCTATTTTTTAAGTTTTCTATTTCTGTATTTTGTCTACTATTCATTTTTTTTTTGATTTTACAGATTTAATAGGCAGAGTTGTCGAGATCCATGCTCCTGTGGACAAAATAATAGGAGGCAGACCAGCAAAACTTCTTGATTTCAAAATGGCGGATAATCAGTAAGTTTTCTACTAACAACTATGTGCCTATATTTTTAATCATTAAATTCTTTCTAACAGAATTGCCTATAGGGGAAATACATTACCGTGCACTGTTTGGGACAGTCATGTTGCTTCTATGGTACCATATTATGATTTTGGTCTTCAAGAACCCCTAATTTTGGTTCTTCAACTTTGTCAGGCAAAAGTGGTGAATGGTAAGTTATGCCATTGCATTATTCTTTTGATTTTTATCTAGGTTTTCCAACAATCATTAACATGTATGATTCTAATAGGTGAAATCAGATACTAGCTGCTATAATGCTACCCAACTTCATTTGAATGGACCTTATCAGGAATTTGTTGATTTTAAATCTCAGTAAGTGCCTTAAATAGCATGTGCTTTATAATGTTATCTACTGTTTACTGTCTATATTTTAAATACCATGTCAGTGCCTTTTTTTTTTTTTTTTATATTTTAAACTTTATCTACTGATTACATTTCAAATAGCATTGCATTTATAATGTTATCTACTCTATACATTTTAAATAGCATGGATTTTAGTATGTTATCTACTGTCTACTGTATACATTTTAAATAGCATGCATTTTAAATTTGATTAAGTGCCTTTCAGTTGTTAGATGTTATCTATTGTCTACATTTTACAACTCAACACATAACAATGCATGAGACAACAATGAATCTACTGTATCTATTATTTATAACACTTATTCATAACATGCAATGGACTCATATAATTACCCCGTTTTTGTTACCTGTAGGTTAAGTGCATCACACAGCCCTTTACGCAGTATCAGCACTGCCACTGTGCTTTCTCAATCCCAAGGAATTGATGACTTCAACAGTGGTGCTTTGACTGTAACTCCTGTTGCTGATCTGTTGAAAAAGAAACAGGTTATACTCTGAAATTTGGCATATCATTAATACAGTCCAGTAAGATCAGTAATTATTTGTCATGATAATACATACTAACCAAGTTACATTTCCTATGGCAGAATGGGGAATTCTATGTTCCTGCTGAAATAGTGGGAATTGAAGGGTCATTTGGATGGATGTACATCTCATGCATGTCACCAGGATGTAACAGAAAACTGTCTGGCCAAGTAGGTGATTTCAGTTGTACACACTGTAATAAGAAGTATCAAGAAGGCATGGCAAGGTATAGAGTGAAAGTGATTGTTCTTGATAAAGGTCAAAAAGATGCTCCCTTCCTTTTGTGGGATAGGGAGTGTTCTGAATTAGTTGGTATCCCAGCACACAGTTTGTACCTCAAGTATAATAAGGTAAAGTCACACAACACTATAATTTAATACCTTAATAGCAGCTGTGTTAATCTATTTGACCTCTAAGTATGCTATTTTGTTTATTTTAGGTTTCAGACATTCCAGCAGAATTGGAATTCTTAGTTGGTATGCGAATGATATTTAAGATATCATTAAAGATGGAGTTCATGAAGGGAGCTAATTCAGCCTACACTGTGATGAGAGTACTAAGGGATGAAGTGTTAGTCTCTCCCTATTGTTCTAACCTTATTGAAGACCAAAGAAGGACTTGATGACAAAAATGATAGATGAGGACGAGGAAGAAGATGAGGAATCTGATCAGGTTCTTATTTTTAATAAAGTATACACTATACTTACATTTTTAAGTCTTCTTATGACATGTGTTTGACTAAATAAACTTTTCATGTATATAGGAGGCTTCAAATGGAGAGAATGAGGTCAACAGCCCCTTGAGTATACAACACTCTCAAAGTGTAGACCTTGAGACTGATGATTCTAATGGTGTGAAGAGATCGCTTCTGGATCAATTTTCCTCCTCTAGGAAGAAGGGGAAAAATGTTGTTAAAAAGGAAAAAGTTTAAGATCTTGGATACTACAGACTGTTACCACATGTTTTGTGGTTTTACTGTTTTGAAACTAATATTTTGGCCTGCAAACTATCTATTTTCATTTCTAAAACAATGTCAGTTTGTTTCCATATGAACATTTGTAGTCAGTTTGACTCTTTTCCTTTTTGGTTTATCTATGTTTAATTTTATTACACTGTTTATTTCTTTATTTGGTTAGATATATGAAACTGTATACAGGGGAAGAATTAAGTTACCAAGCAAGCAATCTAACAAGCAACTAAAGACAAGGAAGCAAACACAGTCCCAATCAGGTCAACAATGAAGCACAACAAACCACTGTACCAGAAAAGCTTTTAAACTAATTTACTTATACCTATGTGATAAATCTATAGTCATGTACTGATTCTGTAATTTATTGTAATATAGATTGTAATAAAACTATTTATTTGCACTATATACATTCTTCTATATTACTTTCAGACTCAAAACAATTTCAATAGAATCATTACCAAACTAACCAGAAAGTAACATGGAAAACATGTATTCAATCAAACACATAATGATGTTAATAAAAAAACTAAATTTGAAATTAATCACATATACATTGAGTTTAAGGATAGTCCTACATAAATTAGGTTCTAACCAAAATAATACATTTACTAGATTAGTTGGATAGTCCTATATTCTACACTTTGAAAGTGAAAAGTGTATACAAATTTGTTTGGACTTTGTCAATTCAAAAAGCAAATAGTCAATGATAGCACTAAATCAATTAAACCCAAATATATCAACTAAAATAAATCCAGATATAGCTTTGGTGAATTTCAATTATCATTAACTTTGGTTAAGTTAAATATAAATTAGACTTTAAGGTCAAAATTGTATCAAAACTATTCAAATGATCACAGTATAAGTACATATATTACTATATAATAGAATATGTAGAGTAAATTGCTTTGAATAAAGTCTAATTTATTAAGGTTAACAGTAGACAAAAGGTGAACAGTAGAAAAAAACATTTACAAACTTAAAAATATAGTCTTGGAAGTAGCTGTGAACAATGTAATTAAACAATCATATGTACTTCAAAAATGAACTTTGACTTCGTCAATTCAAAAAGGATTATATTTTCGCTTTCTGAAAATCCTATATAATTGTGATTGTTGTAAATAAATACAAAACCTTATCATATGAGAATTCATTAGTAATATACGATTAAAAAGTAAAAAAATGTAGGACTGAAACTTTTATACATGTTTTACAAAATGTGATACATCTTTGAGCCTATAAAGTAACAGAAAAAGCTCACAACGCTTTTAAGAACATTACAAAATCAAACCGTAAACATTGTAATTGACCAAATATTTTCCATGTCAATTTGTCTAAAAAGTACACAATACAGTACTGTTTCTGATCTCAACGGATCTAAGATTTAAACATTTAAAATCTACAATTTACAGAAGTAAAGTTTTATAAACTTGGAGAGTAAATACTCATCCCCTAATACATACTATATAATATACTAATTTGTAATCTGAAAATGTAGAATCTGTGATATATAAGAATCTGTCAGCACTGCCAAGTATTCAACTGCTGTGCCAAAAAAAATGTCAAAAAAAAAAAAAAAATAGGACTACAAATAGTAAATGTAATTTAGTCATTTAACATATGCATCACAAACAAAGTTTAATCATTTGCCAAAGAATCAAGAACGAACAAAATGATTTTAACTGATTTTATTATAGCAACTTTAACAATATAAGTAACAAATGTGCCAACAAAGTATTCAAGTACTCAATATGTAATCTATCATTATAAATGTAATGAATCTCAATATAAAATTGGAAACACAATGCTCTTTGGCTTTAAAAACCACACAATTTGTAATTTGTAAATAAAAATGTTAAAAATATACAGACAGATTCTAAGAATGTCATATAACTGCATCAGAATTATATGTTCATCATTTGCCCAATACTAAAAACAGTGTTAGTATATTTGTAAAAAGAAAAAGTGCATGAGTGATAGGGAAACATGTGTATTCAATGGCAGCAATACACTGTTGCATTTTAGTTTTTCCAAAAAAACTGAACAGTCATAATCATTTTAGTACATGTGTAAACATTAATGATTATCAGCCACTAAAGCATTCAAAATATAGCAAATATGCATGCTCAAACTACACTCACAAATCATTATTGAAAGATCCAAAACAACATCAGACATGAGGAAACTTAATTCATCTACACTAATAAGGAGCAAAAGGAAGCACATAATCAACAATCAAGGTATACTCTACACTATTAAAACTCTTAATTTAAGTTTACCAGTTTCTGCTTTTACTTCAATGACCACAGCCTATTATGCATCCTGATCTTCCCATCTTTCTCTTATGCAACCAATTATGAACACTGCTCCCCTAAAAGATAAGAGTATTTAAGTTAGTTGAAACACTAAGAAATAATATGATGAAACCCTATGCTAATCTACGATTTTAGGTAAATATTTGTTTCTATTCCACTTATCTGAGCGACGAATGGTCGAAAAATTCCTGGAATGTCTTTCTACGGTGATGAACACTGTACGACATTTGTACATAGATCTGCAAATTTTTTTTAAAAAATGTTAATTACAAGCATATACGATAGAACATAGGGATAGAATAAAATTTGGTGGGAACTTATCTCATAGCGACTGGATTGAAAGATTACAGTGCTTTGTATCTAGATCGTGACATCAACCCTAGAACCTTCAAAATACCATTGTAAACGAAGATGGACTAATCAAAACGCAAATCTTCCCATCGATCTGAAGATCGCCTACTAAAAACGAAGCGAGAGGAAGAAAATCGAAGATCCGACACTCAAATCGAAGACCTCCGAGTAAACAACGACGATCTGGCAACCCAATTTCAGATTGGAAGAGTGAAAGCGAAATCGCCCACAAAATAGTAAAATCTTCGATTAACAAATGAAGATCGGGCACTCAAATCCACGATCTTCGAATGAGAACGAAGATCGGCTGATAAATATTGAAATGAAGATAGGGTTTTGAAAATCCATCCTCATCGGATGTTAAAGGTCATGAAGATCTTTAGGACATAAAGATTATTGCCTGAAATTGTACAAAGCTCAAGAGCGAAGAAAGAAATAGGGATGTCCGCATTCGGATATGGATGAGAGGTAGCTGATAGTAATCTGGGAGGAAGGAGGGTGTGAGGGGAGTGTTATGGGTAAGAAGTGGGCCGGGTATGGGTTATCAAACATGGGGGAATGGTTTGGGCTATGTATTAAAATCATTATATATTGGGTTTGATTAGGGTAATGTTTAATTATAGAGATTTGCAGATTTTAAAGTCATACTTCAATAATAAGTTTGTACAAAAAAATAGTTGATTATGAATTCAGATTAATTTTTTTTAAGTATTTTTGTATATAAGGTACATTACTTTTTTAATGGATGTACATTATTTGCATTTACAATTTTTTTATTTTAGTTTTGATTATGGTTCACGTTACTACGTGGACCACGGTTAATGTATTGACGATGTTAATTCATGACTTATTTCATATAATACTTAGCTTCTAATAGTGTTTAAATTTCTTACCATTAAGAATTTGTATTTTGCACTTTTAAAATTTTGAATTTGTATTTTGCACTTTTAATTTTTTTTTTTTAATTATGTATCACGGTACTATGTGGACCATGGTTAATGTATTTATGTTTTTAAAAGTGCACTAATTCTTATAATATATAGCTTATAATTCAAGTTAAATATGTTAGTTATTTATTGTCTAATGTTTGCCTTTGAAGAAAATGTTGAGAACAACCATACCATGCTACAAGAAAATATTAATGATCCGCAAATGGAATACACACCACAAATGTATTGTAATTCAAGTGAGAGGCCAAAAAGTGCTCTCACAACAGGTAAACTATTTAATGATTGTACAAAAATTCTTTATAGTAGATAACATATGACAAACGTGTTATGTTTTTTTCAGTTAATATAGAATCCTTGGATATACAAATTAGTACGCGTAGTACGGAATATACAACCAGCAACAGTAAATCAAGGCATTTTGTTTTAGGATCCCAAAATACATTCTCTTCGAGTGCAAAAAGCGATATACTTAACGGTGAGTTTTTACATTTTAGACCACAATTACTTAATTGTTTGTATTACAGTTGCATGCTAAATTTTTTTTTTTTAAATTTCATTTTTAATTGGTTATATAAAAGGTACCCACACAATGTATGAGAACAAACGCCCACCTCTAAATGATATATCCAATGGTAAGTATTTATTACATCATTTTATACAACTTAATAAATTTTTATTAAATTATGCTAGCTAAGTTGTAAGGTATATATTTTTTAGGTAACACAAATTGCAACAAAAGAAAATGCATGGATAAGGGTAAAACTATTATCCAGTGTAATGTTGTCAATCGGGATTTGTTTCAAGATTTTGAAGAAGTTTCCAATATGGACACTATTTCAAAAACCGCGAAAGAAAATCATGGTACGTATAATGTTAAATAGGAGTAATTTCCAAATTTTTATTGCTGTTATTCTTGGTTTAAGTCATATGAAACTAATTTCATATATTATGCTTAGGATTGTCACCAATTACACAACAACATATCCAATTAGGTGAAAATGGTAAGTAATTATTTTGTAAATGGTAACAATGTCACTACGATATTTTGTGGAGGTTTGGAAACATTTCTAAAAAAAATTAATTATGTACATGGTAGGTATAAAGCAATTTTTTGAGACGGCATGCACAAACCAAGCCACAATACGAATTGAATCGACAGTGGGGACTTCAAATGGTAGCCACGTCGGTGATGAGCCAACAAATAGCTATCAAGTTACAGAACCAACTGCTTACAATACTGGTATGTTTACTATATTACGGTGTTTTAATAAATTTAGTGCAATTGGATTTATTTTATTTTAATTGTCTATTTAGTGGAATACCAAGATCTTGGTGATGCAGCGGCGGA